GCCCCTCTTCGCTGCATCCTTCTTTGCTTCCTCTCTCGCTTTCCTTCCCACCATCCTGACTTCCTCCCACGCTCCCTTTCTTCCTGCCTTCATCTCATCCTTCCTAACCTCTTTCATCCGCCCATCCTTCCTGCGCCTTTCCCTCTTCCTTCCTTCAGCCACCCGTCCTTCCTTCCTTCCCTCCCTCCAAACAACCCTTGTCATTCCTTCCTTTCACACCATCCTTGCTCGTGTCCTTTCCTTCATCCTCCCTACTTTCTGTCCTTCCTTTGACCTTCCTTGCTTCATTCCTTGCTTCCTTCCTCCATTGTTTGAATATTAAAAATAATACAAAACATGAGGGATGGCTGAGTACCGACACCAGGTATCGATATCGGGCAGATACTGAACATTTTCGAAGGTATCAGGTACTCCTGGAGGCTTCTGATACCAGCCACCGATACTTATGGCAAAAAAATAATAATGATAAAATTGTGTTCAATGAAATTTTATATCTCCAAGTATGAAAGGTATCGGTACCCGGTATCAGAAAGGACTCACAGAGTGAGTACTCACATCAGCATCTGTGAGTAAAAAAAGTGGTATCGAACATCCCCAAAAAATATAAATTAGTTTTGTTTGAGTATGGAAAAAAAAACGCATGCAATCAGGATGAAAATTTCAAACAAAAAAAATTTGTGATGAAAGCAGAATAAATAAATTTTTGGATGATGAAATAAAAACGATGGTACGCACTCATGCATGTTGTTCGGATGAGAGTGAAATGATTTGCCAAGACCGCGATCGCTCATCCAAACGTTTGCACATTCGCGATGCCTGCGTGTATGGCGCGCGTGGCGGCGGGCTCACAGAATTTGAAGAGGTGGTCCCAGACGGCCACAAACTTGTTCCAGAAGGGCAGGTAGGGCCAGTAGCGCTTTGGGAACAGGATGACGATGGAAGACAGCCGGAACATTTCTCCCACCGACCAGATGAACTTCTGCGTCTCCTCGGGCACGTCCCGCTCCAGGCAGCCCAGGCGCGTCTCGAACAGCACCGAGCAGATGCCTCCAACAAACACGGCGTGCACTTGTCAACCCGCCTTCGACACACACTGGAACGGTACGCTCAATCGAGTCAAAGTCACTCGGGTGTCGGCGTTCGGCTTCGAGAGCAAAGCAGAAAAGGGCGGCGGGATGTTTCCTTCCCTATGGTCCTTGTTTTCTAGCCCCTCTTCGCTGCATCCTTCTTTGCTTCCTCTCTCGCTTTCCTTCCCACCATCCTGACTTCCTCCCACGCTCCCTTTCTTCCTGCCTTCATCTCATCCTTCCTAACCTCTTTCATCCGCCCATCCTTCCTGCGCCTTTCCCTCTTCCTTCCTTTCCGGCACCCTTCCTTCCTTCCCTCCCTCCAAACAACCCTTGACATTCCTTCCTTTCACAACATCCTTGCTCGTGTCCTTTCCTGCATCCTCCCTACTTTCTGTCCTTCCTTTGACCTTCCTTGCTTCATTCCTTGCTTCCTTCCTCCACTTTACCGCCGTTCATTGAGCAAGGCTGTGAATACTTTTAAAATGTTTTACTTTTGTATTTTTAGACATATTTTTTTTTCATGTTGTCATTGTGGGGGTCGTGTGTAGAATTTTCAGCAAGGGAGTTTGTTTTATTTTGAAATTACCGGTAGGTGGCAAAATAAAATATTGAAAAAGTGAGTTTTGTTGGTTTGGTTTGTTTTTTTGTTTTTTTTTACCTTCAAAAGCAAACTTATAAAGTTCTTCGGTCATGTCGTGCACCAGGCCGGTGGCGCCGCCGCCGTTATGCTGCCGCAAGCAGCGGAGTCGCTCCACAAAGTCGGCCACCACCAGGTTGATGGTGTCTGCATAGGAGGCCACGTGTTTCGGCTTCAGCATGCGAGGGTTCAGGATGCTGCGGATACGCTGCCAATTGGCTCCCATCCTAAAAACAAACAACACAAAAAGAGTTTGCTCGAAAGCTAATATGCTAACAATAGCGTTAGCGTCACGCAACAACTTTATTCTCTAATACTATAGATTTTGGAGCGATTACAAATCCCTTAGCAATCGTAAATTCACATCTATTCTCAAAACTTTTTTCTTGTACAATTACAATTTTTTTCTTTCATTTTGACTTTCTTCCCTTAAACGAAAACTATTCTCACAACATTGTCGTTTTCTTGCAACATTCCCCACGTCTAAAGTTGACATTTTTTTCTGACCGTTTTATCCTCAAAACACGACAGCTTTCCTCGCGCAACATTCCGACCTCATTCCTGTAAAGTTGCCTCTTTTTCTTTTGTTTTCTGTATTTCTTCCTTCTCAAAATGTTTGTTCAATGTTGTTGAGAAACAGCATGTGGAGAGAACGCCCCAGTACAAGTCAAACAGGAAAAACTGAATGCCGACTAAGACCAAGAGTGAAGGATCAAGACTGGCGTGCCGTGACGCGGCCCAAAAAACAAAAAAAGTCAAGTTGTTGCCACTCACTCGGTGAGGGGCCCGTGGGCTTGGTTGCGGACCTCTCTGTAGTGCCTCCAGTGCGGCATGTCGGTGCGGACCGGATGCCGGCCCTCCTGGCGCAGAACCTGCTCGATGAGCTCGGCGCTGGCCACGTTCACGACCACCAGGGGTCCGTACGTGGATTTCCACAGGGGCCCGTACAACTTCTTGTGCTCAATCTGGAAGCAGAGACAGACTTTTATTAAATGAGGTCACGTTACTAGTATAATATTTTAGTATTGCTTCAAACAGGACCTTCTCAGACCAAAGTGGCTACTAAGCTCAAAGTGTCACCGAGTGTCATCGACTGGTTGCAAGAGATAGTGAGGGACTGGAAGAGTAACAGAAAGATGTCGACATGGACATTCTTAGGTCACATCCCATGCTGCCCCGAGAAACCGGATGATGAATGCCACTCAACGGGCCTCATTTCATCTTCATGGACGACAATCCTCCAGCTCTTTGAGGTTGCATCATCAGGCAACGGCTGTTGGAGACCCGTGTTTATTTTGTGACTTTCTCATACCGTAGTTACTTTTTAATACAGTATGGTAATGTATGTGATATTTTTGATTTTCTAATTCTGCTACTTCTTTACCACGCTGAGAATAACGTTTTAATATGAAGATTTTTAATTTTTTTTAATGAGGGTATGAACGCAGTATTGTATGAAACAAAAGCACCAGCATAATTAAATCTCTTGGGCAGGGGTGTCAAACTGATTTTTTGTCACGGGCCACATCATAGCAATGGTTTCCTACGGAGGGCCGTTACAACTATGAACCCAAATTCACGACAAATTGGTCAATAACTAGTTTTGAAATCAGAGGCCAATAAAAACCGTTTTTTTTCAAATATTATTACATTTAAAAAAAAATGGTGGTGAGAAGGGGACAAAAATGCTTGCAATATCTCAACATTTTTAAAAGTGAAGACAGTTTACAATTTTGATATTTCAGCAAGAAACACGAAGTGGATGCACATAATTTCCTTTGGTGGGCCACAGAAAATGATGTAGCAGGCCTGATCTGGCCCCCGCGCCTTCAGTTTGACACCTGCGCTCTAGGGTTTAATGTCAATATACACTGAATATAAAAGTTAAAAAAAAACACAAACACACAATGAATCTGAGAGGAGAGTCAACATTGTGAAACCCCCCGCCCATAGTAACCTGCGGGGACATGTTGGAGGCAAAAGAGGACAGCGACAAAACAAGCCGCAGGAAAATGAAACAATCAGAAAACACAGGCTGGCCTACTTACTTGCATCTGCTGCGTGGTCTGGAAGTATCCCTTGACGAAGAGCCAATAAAGCGTGCGCAGGAAGCTCGGCCCGGCCAGCTCGTCCATGGTCTTCACCCGGCCGATGCCGTCGGACACCGCGCCGGGGCAGGTGGACGCCGGTTCCCCCGCAGGCTCGGCCGACGCCGCGGCCGCCGGCGTCTTGGTGTGGATCCAGCGGCGGGGCCGGCGGGTGCGGAAGGCGAAGCCGGTGACGACCTTGGCGAACATGTCCGCGCTTCTTCTGCTGCGCGGCTTCGAGCTGGTTTTCTTTTTGTGGTCTGCAAATGGCGCGGCGTGCTGGGAAAAAAACACGCGGACTTTGACACGGAGCGACCCACTTGCGCGCACACAATGACATGAAGGAACACGTTACACGGATTAAAGTGTTCAGAACTTGAAGAACGTGGCACTTGTGCCAAAAACAATTAACGTCACTCACCATGGGGATTCACTGATCCACCACGATTTAGATAAACTAAGATAAGAAAACCTGTAGTTGTCTCACAATGGAGAAATCCTCAAACTTAGTCCATTGGACACTTTTTTTTTTTTTTTTTGAGTGTACAAAACAAGTAAATGTTGGCGTTTTTTGTGAAAGCTCTGAAATGTACATTTTGACATAGAGGCCCCAGCCACCGACATTTAAAATGGGTGAAAATAATGTGATCATTTTTTATTTTATTTATAATTGAATCATAACCTGCAGTTACACGAAACACACAAAATCTTAATTTTACTATTCATGATTTAGATAAATGAACGTAAAAATATAAATGTATTCCCATTAGTAACTGTTACCAAAAATTATGATTGGCTCATAAAATAAGTCAATACATAAGTATATATTTTTTATTTTAATAAAGCAATTAATGAATCATTCTCATATCCCAAATTGCTTCAAAATTATTTTTAACTAAGCCACAATTAATTTACTTTGTGGTGACCCGAAAATGTAGAATATCTAACTTTCTAATAAAAGAATCATTCTGATTTTATGTCATTCATGATTACCTGTTGATGTTAGGTTATTTAAAGGCGCCAAATTGTCCTCGGGCATGAATGTGAATACTTGTTAGCCTCAATGTGCCCTACGACTGGCTGGTGACCAGTCCAGGGTGTAACCCGTCTCTCACCCAGATCAGTTCCTCCTCTGCTATTTTTGCAGACTCTTCAAGAAAGAGAAAAGAGACATGAGGCTAAAACAGTAACATAGACTGTCGTGTACCCAATTAAAGTATTTTATTTCTCCTTTTACAAACAAGACCAGTTCAATTCAAAAGACCCAAGCGAGAAAAAAAAAAGGCGGAGCTCAGCGGTGCCAACAGGTTTCCGATTGGTGAAACTGTCGACTACTAAAACTACATCACATATATTATTCTGAGGCCAGGCATTCACCGCTTGGAGAAATAAATTAATGATTTGGATTCAAGTATTGCAGGTTTAAAGCTACGAGGCACCACTGACCTGGTCAAGACCAATTAAAAAAAAATGCACTGCAAGCTACAGGTAGATAAGTGCTTAACTTTGGCACCACCCAATGGAGGGTCATGACTACACTATCAGCTAGCTGGGTACAACATCATCGGTAGCAAGTAGCCACATAGAAAAGTAGCTACATCGGCGACACACTAGCAGCTGGCTAAAAAGACATGGAGGTAACCGGCTGTAGTGTCAACGTGATATATAGCAATGTTAGCTACTAGCCACAGAGTCAAGTATCAACACCGACAACTAAATGCGCTAGCAATGTTAGCAACGGGATTTCCCAAAACTTGGCATTGGGACCAAAAACGGATCGTGGTTCCATTTTTACCGAATGTTATTTGTATTGATCAACTCAACTTTATCATTCATTTCTCTTTACCTCGTAATGTTTCTCATGATGCACATTTTGTATTTAGAAAGAGTTTAGGTCATTGTTTTGGCAATGATGTTTCTGTGATCGAGTTTGGAAGTTCAGGTCCTGTTTAAGAACAATATTTTGGGGATACCCTGAGCCATGTCGCTAACACAGCATAATTTAGCTTGAATGATGAATTGAGTGAATAGTTTGGTCCGCGGCTGAATATTGACATGAAATGAGTGAACGAAGAAGCAGAGGCAGCGGTTAAAAAAAAAAAAAAAAAAAGGTTTTGTACGACATGCAGCCATGTAAGGCACATCTTGTAAATTACCCATAATGCCAAGCTGAAATGTTGAATCACCGCAGTGAGTGCTTTAAGACTTGACTGGCAGGCATGTAAAGACAAAACAAAATGCAGGAGTGCCCTGAACAGATTGCTGCTTGCATTACAAAACAAAGAGAACTGATCAAGATGGAAAGGAAAGAAATGGAAACAGCGGACGTCCTGGCTGGTGATTGGTCAGTCGCTTTCGCTGCCCGATTCGCTTAACTGCAGGTCGTTTTCTGCAAGACAAAAACACGAAGCGGTGACACAATGGAGGAGTTTCATGCTGGGACAAAGGACAGTGGAATGTTCTCGGGGGGGGGCAAACAATCTCACAGTGTGGTCCAAATGTGTCAAATGTGAATGAACGCACAACACTGTTCCTTCCAAATTACTCATTTAATAATATTTTTACTCACTGAGTGTGTTCATGAGCCCTCCTCCGCCGCCGCCTCCTCCCCCTCCTCCCTCCTGCTGGCGGCTGTTGGTGGTCAGGACGGGCATGCTGTGGTTGTTCTGGGCAACCGCTGCAGTCGGGGGCACGGCGGTGCCGGTGCCACCGGCCCGCTCATCCTCTGAGTCACTGCTGCTGGAGCTGTCATCGCTGCTGGAGGAAGAGGAGCTGTTGGAGGAGCTGGCACTGCTCATCTGGTCCATGACGCGAGCCTCCGCCATCAGCTCTGCATGTGACAACAATCATCATTGAATTGCATCACATAATACACATTCTTGGGGAGATCGGTCACTGGATAAATTATGAATGCAAGCAGGTAGGAGGGAAGGCAGAAGTTGCCACCTTTCTCGATGTCGTCCAGGGGCGATGTGGGCGACGTCTTCCCTTTGGGCGGAGAACTTTTGGATCCTGCCAAGCTCTTGCTTCCACCTCCGCTGCTACCGCTACTGCTACTGTTGCTCTTCATCTGTTGGCCCAGACGACTGGTCTGTTGCTCCATGCGGGAATGAATCTTACTGCTGCCCTCGGCCCTGGAACGCATAGAACAAAAAGCCAAAGAGCAAATGAAACAAAATTCTAGTAAAGGCCTTTGAAAACCAAAAAACAGAAACGCTTTGGCACCGGGTCTTCTTGACTGCAATATTGCTGCTGAGCTTCTCCAGTCTGTACTCGCCGGTGTCGTGGTTGACAATGAGGATGCATTCCTTCATGTATGAGCGCTTGGAGCCCTTAAAAACTGTCACTGGGGCGCTGGAACCCTAAAACACATTTTAAATGAAAAAAATCAACTTTATGAAATAATTGCCGCATGTAGAGGACAGACGAGGAAAACGCTAACCTCTAAATTGGGTAAAGTGATAGTGACTTGCTCTCCTTTGCCAACTTCCAGATCCCCTTCACAGGCCGTGTCAATCGAAGCTGGTTTGAAATCATCTGGGGAAGAAAGTGAAGCATTTTTAATGAAATTAATTATGGACGTTAAGTTCGAATGTTATGAAAAATAATAACTAAATTAGTTATGAAGTAGGGTATAGGATAATGTCTCCATGCATTTCATACGTTTTTTTCCCTACCGGAAACGTGTAACTTAAAAGATTTTGGGTGATGTAAATAATAATAATAATAATGACAATAAAGAAAAATATGGACGTGAAACAAAATATTATATAAATTGACCGAGGAGACTCGCTTAATTCCATTAGCCATTTGCAGCGGTACCATCTCTGACGTGCCACAAGGTGGCAGTGTTGTCTTCACTGACCGCAGGCTAACACACAAGCTAATATTCAACAGCTATTAGTGGTTAGTTTTCACGGCGAATAAATCGATTAAAAATAAATTAACAAGAAAAAACGACATCGACATGATATAAGAGGCCAGTACACACAGACTAAGAAGGCGGTTAGTGTCGTTGGACCGGCGCCCTTCGAATGAAAAGTTAATCATCTGCGAGCTAGCAAGCTAACTGTTAGGCCGTGTGGGGAAGAAGCTGAAAAAAAAAACATTGAATCTGAAGCGTTGACTTACATCGCACAGTGTGGTAGGCACTTTTGGGGTGCTTCTCGAATGTCTCCCCCAATTTCAAGACGTGTTCCTGGTTGTCAAAGTTGGCGTAACTTGTTCCATTCATCCTGAGTTTGGCCGGATGAAAACTTTTGGCATCTTTTTTAATTATTATTCGACGGCCATGTAACGTAAGGTGCCGCCGAGCTCCGCCTTTTCTTCTTTCTGATTGGATCGGGGTGGACAAAACTGTGCCCATTGGCTCACAGCCTGTCAATCGAAATTATGTCACCGTTAAGTCACAAAATGAAGCTAAAAATTGTCGTACGTTGTACATAATTCAAAAAACGTTACTGCGGTTTTATTTTTTAATTATGTTAATATTGTATGTTTCTGGTTTTAATTTAGTAAACAATGATGTATATTCTGTTTGTGTTTTTTTCTTTTCATTGATTTAGCTTGTAGGAATTCTCACAAGAAATCTGCTCTCTTTGGACCAAAGTTGCTTTCTATTGGCATTTGATCAACTTGCAATCGAAACTTTACGAAAATACAGGGCAAGATCTTAAACTCTTATCACTGTCTTTACACTTTTTTTTTACCCATGGTTGCTATCTTGTCATATGTTAGCATAACGACTGGTATCATGTTAACATTTGATCAATTCTTATTCAAAATAGCAGATCAATACGGGACAAGACGCAATTTTTGGACTGAGGTTTCGTAACACGCATGCTTATTGCAGCAACACCAGAAAAAAAGTTTAACGTGATCACTTATCACATTAAAATGTGGCAAGTTCGCCTTCTGCAAAACAAAGCAAGTACCTCATGTTCAGGTCACAGGTGGAGTCCTGTTTATATGATAGGAGGCTTTCAATTTTTTTTTCTCTGTGCGCCATAAGCATGTTTTTTTTTTCCATATTTTTGCGGAGCATCGGAAAGTCAATTCCAATCCCCAGAGATTGATTTTAGTGGCGATAAGCAGCATGACTTAGATGTGAAGGGACAGCAATAATCTCTTTTCCTGACTTTAAACGCCTTACGAATCCTAAGCCTGGAGTGAGGAGGGCCCATCTGCTGCCTTTATGTTATAGGATCAACATTGTGACAAAAGAATCGGCTCTTGGCCACTTTGCGCTTGGATTTATCTGCAGGCTGGCTTTACTTGGACAAAGCGGCTGTAAGATATATCATCTTTCTGTCAGTCAATGGCCGCCGGGTCCACTTTCATTGAGCGTGAGGGGAAAGCTAGCAGGGTTCGTGTTTCCATGGTGGTTGTGGCTGGTGGGCCATCCCCGGTATAAACTATGCAACTGCCTAGGGCCACCCCCCCAGAGAAATCAACAGTCGGACTCAAGAAAATCAATATTATTGGCCCCGCCAAATCAATAGAGGGCCTCCAGATTATTGATCTGGCCTCCAAATCAAATAGTGCTTGGGGCCCAATGGAGCCGCGGGCCAGCTCTGCATTAGTGATGTCATAGTTGACGTCCTCCATGCACTATGGGGGTTGCCCCCGTCCACAAAGTTGATGATAGCCTCTTTCCAGGCGCTGCAGTCAAAAAATATCTTGGCTTCCTGCTCACAGATTTGAAGTACTTCTCACAAACATTAAAGACGATTCAGGTTGTACATCTTCTTCGAAGAATATGAAACGATTTCGAACCAGTCAAGCGTGTTTGTATAAATCAGAATCAGAATCAGAATCATCTTTATTGGCCAAGTATGTAGAACACACAAGGAATTTGTCTCCGGTATTGCACCTGGTAAATAATGGAATAAGATCAGAAACGTTAAATGACCCAACAAACACGTTGACGTAAACATCACATTACTTTCACCCTTTCATGAATGTTATAAACTGTACTGTATATGTTTTCGGAACTATCAAAGACAATTCTTAGCATGAACATTTTTATAAACCTTTGTTGAAGACTCCAAATTTCCTTGATATTTACAAAAATGCATTCATTCGGTAAGTGGTGGTGTTACGAAAATATGAACGATAGGTTAATTTGAAGGCTATTCTGTTCCCAAAAATGTACAAAGTGTACGTTTAGTTTAAACGTGTTTACAAAAGTAGTGCGTTCCTTGTTGTCTTTGATTTTTGTTAAATTGTGTACGACACTCAAACCTGCCTTTGATGCGCACGAAAACACTAACTAGGCTAGCTGAAAGCACTAAATCGTTTTCAGTAATTTTGAAAATGTGTAAATTATTTGGATTACTTTAGTTTATTGGGCAAAATCATCTTCAGTATTTTTTTTCAAGTTATTTCATCGTGGCATGCATCAAACGAGGCTGACAAGACACTGGAATTCAAATCAAATGTGAGTGATCAAGCACTAGTGAAAACAATTCAACCGTAACAATCGCAAACAAAATCACATTTTGCTCAGTGGTCAATCGATATTACAGTTATTGTTTGATTGTAAGGTGTCCTTGAGTGTTTTGAAAGGCGCTTATAAATTAATTTTTTTATTATTATTATTATTATTCAACATTAAACAATAAATTCATAGCACAGTATAAAGTGTTCTCTTATGCTGTGTAATTATTATGTAATTGTCTTTGATGTACAGTACATGAAAAGCCTTTGAACTTTAGGTCGGTTGCTTTTTCGAAACAGAACTGAAGTTAGTGTTTTTATGTTTTGGGTTTTTTTTTTTTTTTTTGGTCGACCAAAAGTGTCTGAACGCATCCTCCGATATGTTCATTTTTACGAGGCGTACTTGAACGCAGCACAGTTCCCAAGGAGAAAGCCGCAAAGAAAGAGGTCGCGTGGAAGGGATCCTACACTCAACGGATTTTCTTCCTCAGCATTATTTATTTATTTATCTTCGGGAGGGGTTGTTAGAAATCCAAATCTCGTTTTGCTGGCAGGAGCGGCTGTCTTATTCAACCTGCCCGGTGAACCTGCCCTCACGCCGGGGGCTAAGGGGACCTGCCATCCGCCTCACGCGATGGAGGTGACGGAGCACAACTAATCCACAGTGAGTACGCGTAACGTCAAGCATCTCGGGCATTTTCTTCCCCAAAATTTGGGCCGTGTGGGGCAAAATAGCACGTGTAAGTGGCCTTACAAAGCCTTTTTTTTTGGGAACAAATTGTGCTTTCAAAGCCTAATGTAGTTCTGTGAGCAAATGTACCATTTTAATGGCAATATATTGCATATTTTTGTCAAGTGAGGTGACGACCGATTTCCTGGAGAAATATTCAAATGTACGTTTTTGTGCCAAAATACCTCCAAGTAAAACGTCTTTGTGCCACACTGGAACTTTTTGCGATCAAATGTTGCCTTTCTGTCAGCAGAAATTAGACTTTGGTGACACAAACCAAATGTTTTAATGGCAAAATATAGGATGTCATTAGTAGGGTCATTTTTCCCGAGCATTTTTCAGATTCAACATATTCCTCAACACAAATGTGGCGACAACTAACTCATAGACTGTGATGCTGGTAATGCTCGAAAAGTACGTCGGCGTTACTGCAACAGTATGCTGCCATCTAGTGGGAAAACGTGTAAATACACCCAAGATAAACAGAAGGCAGAACAAAGTACTTGTAAATTGTACTTCCTTCAAATCGGTAAAATAGTTGGACTAAATATGGGTGGCGAAGTACAGCCAAGTATATATATATATATATATATATTTTAGATAATCAACAATTAATCGGTTATTGATTTTTCTCTGGCAAATATCGGAATCGGCATCGGCCTAAAACAAACAAAAAAAAAAAAAACTAAACTAACTACCAAATATTGTATCTGTGTTTTTACATTCACGGAAAAGATGGAATCAGACTCCGATAGTACCACTGGCAACACTTTCCTTTTGAAGCCGCCCGCGGCTTCCACCACGGGATCAATAAGATGCCTGCATTTAATGAGCCGAGGTGGTGCTGCGTTGTTGTCAAACAGCGGATAACATAACGGAACCCACTGGGACGGCGACACCTCAGCGAGGTGCGAGACGTTGGGTTGACTCTACACTTGATGCATGCGATACAATTAGCATGCATTAGCATTAGCCCGATGGCTGACATCAGCTGTTTTGCTCGCTTCATTGACTGAGCAGCATCAATGAGCCCTATCGATATGTACTCACAAAAAAAAAAAAACGGTCAGCTAAAGTAAAGTAAATAAGAAAAAAAAGAGACTTTTGGACTCATTCCTTTGGCAGTGGAGTCGCAGCTCTGTATTAAATGTAAAGCAGCCTCGCAGGCAAGAACGCTGCCTCCATGAAGCATGTCGAGGTCGCCGATTGCGGCGGAGCGGGAACGCCAAGGTGACAAAAAAGTGAGGCGATAACCCAATAACCTTGTCATTCCTGCTCTTGGCGAGCAGGAATGCAAGCAACATACCAAAAAAAAAAAAAATTTGATTTGCTAAGTTAAAATGAAATCATCTGTCCGCTTACAAATATATTACTCTATAGTATTGCAGTTAATAAAGCATAAAGTAATAACTAAAGCTGCAGCCTATAATTATTTTTATCATCAATTAATCTTTTGAGTATTTTGTGGAGTAACCGATGAAATGTCTAATTTGGGTTAAAAAAAACAACCGAAAACAAAACACAAAGATAATCAGAATAGTTTTTACAGGAGTACAGAAAACAGAATGTTTCCTGTCGAGAAGCTGAAATGACAAGAATTTGGACATTTTAAAATTGAACAAGGACTATTTCAATGGATTTGACAATCGATTAGCTGATGAATCGATTGTTGCGCCTCTCGTAATAGGATTTCTGACAATCGCAGCTAGGCTGCAGTATGAGTCATGTTTCCCGGAGGATAAAGAATATATGCTCGTGAGCACATTGCCTGTTTGCATGTGTTGCTATGTGCCCATAGGGTTAAAGTTACCGTCACATCGACACTATCTTCGTTATCCCATCTTACTCCGTTGTTTGTGCATCAAGCTAGCTGACGTTCATAAGACAGGTTTATGGGATTTGGTTAAATACATAACGTGTATTAATTAACTTTTATGGCCAAATGGAGCAACATAACTGGAAGACCTGTGGCAGGAGAGAAGGCCTGGCTGGAGCATGCTAGGATTTTTCCACACCCAAACTCATCGCAGGTTGCCTTGACGGACCGGAATATGTGCTAGCGTGTGTTGGCTTACGCAACAGCACGGCGCTTGAGTGGAGTTCCCTATCTGCTACAGATGGGAAATTAAATAATGAATGAGGGAAACTGGCCCGCGTACGCCGA